TTTTTTTAATACTTTTTACGTGTATCTCGTAAAAGTACCCGCTGCGAGCAGAGAAACTTCGGGCTCGCCTCGGCGCCGGATTTCACGCTCCGAGCCCGTCCTTTACTAATGGTCACCTTAATTTTCCCTTTGAAACGCACCTCTTTGCCCGATCTAAAAAGTGACATCTCGTAACAGTCGTCAACTCGAAACAAAATCGCAGGAATATGCGCTTTGTGCGGCTTCGTGCCAGTCTAGTTTAATGAATTATTATTTAAACGGACGCGAAGTATATCGTTTTAAGTAGTTAAAAAATCTGCCGCGGGGTGGCGTCGGACTCGGGCTTTTTCCCGCAAACCCGGCGCTGGCTCGTCTAGGAAGGTCGCTACGTACTTTTCTCTCGCGATAGTCGCGTCCTACTATTAACAACTATTGCGTTGAATAGCTCCCTCGCCGGAAAACGATATCGCTTAACGCGTGGTGCCTCGTTCTTCCGCGATGTTAATAAACCCTAATAGCGTCGTTACAAAAACCTTACAACTATTCAACAAAAACCAACCTCGTAACAAGTTTGTTTTACTTATGTACTCCTCCCTCGCCCGTCTCTTTCGCTCTCCCTGTCTCTTATTTTCTCACCCTTCTTCTCTGTCTCTTTCGGTATTCGCGCTTTCTTCCCTGCGCTGCCTCGTACCGTCCCTCTTTTTCTCCCCTGTGGTTTCGTTTTCTATTTCTAGAGTAAGGGTGCATTCCTTTGGCGATAATTATAGATATTCAGGTTCGTTGTGATTAACTTTTTTTTTTATATAATTCGGTGATAAGGATCATCGGAACTCGGTATACCGTACATGATTACTGTTTTAGTTCTTATTTGGAGAATCGTCAATGAGTTCGTTTCATGTTGTTTCTTTATATATTAATTGATATTCCAACGTCTTTTGGTGGCAATTTCTTCAGTCCCTATTTTTTTGGGAAGGGATACAAATGTCGGGAAATAAGTACAAGCGGGCTTTTCGAGGACCGACGATTGGACGAATACCGAATTTCGAGATTACCACGATATTCGGTGAATGGAGCCACATTTGGATAATTATCTAGCACGTTATATCCACCGACAATAAAGATTCACCGAATATCGGTATCGAAGCTTTTCAACGCCGAAAACCCTTACTCTTGTGTTCTTTACCCTGTCTTCCAAAATGGCGGCTCCTTTCCTTCTAACGCTTTTACAGGCATGGCCTTCGATGTCGGATTTATCGTGCCGACCATGTCCAGAGTTGGTAAAAACCCGGTCGTCTGCCCGAAAAACTCTTCATTCCAGGTTTTCCAGGTTATCGACATCTTCCAGAGGTTTCCCGGCCTCGATGACTCGAAAATGAAAACCTATTTAACGAACGCTCTATCGACATTAAATGCATCTACCTATTATCATTAACTGGAACAAGCTTAATCTCGATTACAATAAGATTACAAAATGCTTATACCGATACGAGGAGAGATAATAAAAATACAAAGCCTCGTGAAAAACCGTAATTGCGATTGGTATTTCTTCGCTCTCCTTTTTATTCCACTTAAGAGACACCTCGCTACCGCTACGAATTCTCGAGTTTTAACAATCGCCCGGTGAGTTTTAATTTCTGAAGTGACCCTTTTTTCCTTTTTCTAGGAAGAACTTCTCTTGGCTTCCTAAGAAGGCTGTTCTCGTGCCAACTCCGATCGCGTCTAGCTCGTCGAACGCGTCGATAATCGCTATTCCGATTTAAAACGAGAAGAGGGGCTTCGTCGTTTCATCCCGGCCGTAGACGGCCGTTTCTGGACGAGAGGTCGGATTCTTAACTTTTAAGGCTCTGGAATCCTTACGTTTAATAAGCTCGGGCTTGCTAGTAGTCGCTCGCGAAGATCCTCTTACACGCTCTTTCACCTTAATCGCTGTCAACCGGAGTCTATCTCCAGTTCTGTCACGCCGCCGGAGACCCGCCCTCTTTTGCACATTTATAATTCAACGACCACAGAAAACAGTAGATTGGAACAAATAAAAAAATAACATAATTATAATGTGCGGACAGTACGCGCGATGGATGTGGAACTTCTAAGTTAAAAAGAATGATTAGATATTATTAATAATTAGTAATCAATTTTTGCAAGAAGTGCCCTCGTGTGTTCGGTACTAGTTCTTTTGGGCATCGTTATTTTCATTTTTTGTTCGCATTATTGTTAATCCATTTCAAATCTCGATAATTAATTGAGAGAATGGCGCATTAACGTCAAAGGAAGCGTTTACGTAAGGTGTCTCAATACTAAAACAGTAAGATGAATGAGAATAGTAATTAATTGTGAAAAAGCAAGAAGAGCGATCCACATTTCGAACCCGGTCCTTTTCGTGTCTCGCGAGGTTCCACGTATTACTTTGTTATAAGAAGTTTGATTTAAAAGAAATAAAACGGAATATTTATTTGACAGGCGCCTCGGTCAAAGAAACGGGAAAGGTAAGGATCGTTCGTTATTAAGTGAAACATGTAAATATATGATAAGACCGGAAATGAAAAATAAATAAGGAAAGTCCTTCGAGCGGTTCTCGGAGCAGCTTGAAATTTTCCGAGGGAGGGTATTCGCCCCGTGTAAGAGGAAGATCGCGGGTCTGCGAGGCAGAGGGAAGAAAACGGGAGAAGAGGATCCGACCCCGAGACGTCGTCGAGGCAGGCGTGGTTCTTCCTTCGCGAGGTCGGGACACTCGGATCTCCTTCCTGGTGAATCGTACCCGAAGTGTTCGAAACTCTCGAAATAGCGAGCTCTCGAGGCCGTCGAGGAGGTCGCTCGTGCCGAGACGGCCGGCCTCGTCGAGGACCCCGGCCAGTCGTTGGTCTCCTCTCTTTCTCTGGTCGAACGAACGTTAACATTAATCAAGTGGAGGATACACGTGGAGCGACCTACTGCACTTCTCTATGCAAAAAGGGGTAATGTGTAATGCCTATCGATGCGTCCGTCGAAGGAGCGAGCGCGGACCCGGACGCGCCTCGTCCTCTCCGCCAGGAGACGAGCTGCGAGCAAGCCGAACGCACCGGTTCACAATTTTACCCGCGCATCCGGTAATCGACAAAGTCCTCGGTTTTCTTCTTTTTCTTTTCGGATAATTGCGATAACGAACGCAGGGGAATAAAGCGCGCGCTTTATTTCCCGGCGAGGCCGCCAGGAAACGCAGAGGATGCTGAAGCCGCTTCTGGACCCGAACCAAATCCCGACCTATTGTGATCCGACGCGATTTACTCTACGTGTAGATAGGTCGAGGAGATAACGTCTAACTTTTGTGCTGAATTTATGTGCGAAATAGGTCGTCGCGCCTGTGTTCACTCCGAGGCGAATTGGGGTAATGTTAAGCTGTACCGAAAAAAGCTTCGGTTAACGCGTCCTGGTCGAATTAAGTCAATTTATCAAGTTTAAGTAAACTCTACTGCATTCGACGGGGTTCTGGTTAATCCAGTCAAAATCGGCGAAGTTGGCGTTGGTTTCGTTGATTTTTTTGTTTGTTAGTTGAAAATGCAATTGGGAGCTAAAGCATCGAGAAGCTACGTTGAGTAGCGGCGAATAATTATTGCCGTAATCTCGTAGAGGGTTAAAGTTGGATTATTAGAGATTTTCTTGATATAAAGTAGTATATTCCATGGTATAGATAATGATTGTAATTCACAATCATTTCGGCAAATATGAATCGATCGTATAAGCTCTTTATTAATTCGCGATGCGGCGAGGTCTCTTGTGCACTTTTAAATCCTTACGATTATAAAAATTTGATATAGCTGGATCGTCGATGATCCTCGAATTTTTCTGAAAAATATAGAAGTCTGGATAGAACGGCTGATAAGTGTCGCGATATGTACAGAATTATTTACAGTGGTTCATTAAAAAGCGAAAGGACATTGAAACGGTCGTAGATATGTCGTCATCACCCGTGGCAACGATTGTTACTCGTTCTTTTAACATTTGCATATTTTCTATTTCTTACTTGTGCGGAATTTTTGCCTCTAGATACTCTCGACGGTAAACGATAATGCCCGAGATTAAACTTTAAACTAGAGATCCTTTTATCCCTAGAGGGCTCCAACTCGATTCTTCTTCTATCTCCGGCCGGGGCAAATCCTAACATATAAGCGTTTGAGCTAACGATCCTAACTTATCAGAGATTAAGCTCGGTAAGATATTTAAGAAATGGTTAAAAAGCTTTGGAGGGCCCATTGTCTCAATTTCGCCTATTCATCGGCATCTATCGCATTCTCTGCGTCCTGGGACCTTTTGGTCGCTCGATGGAAGGACCCGACTAGTGCTGATTTACATTCCGGAAGTGAAGGCTCGTTGGAACGAGTCAAAGAAATTATGTACATGATATGTTTATATCATCCGGAGGTGTTGCCGAGCGTCGATTCGCCGTCGATGCGTTCGCCCTGCCGAGAATTCGTTCCTCCGGCACAAGAAGCATACTTCAAAATCTCAGCGAAGTCTAATCTACCCGAATAACCGGCGGAGCTTGGTCGAATCCGCAAAATCTAATCGATCCACAAAGTCGAAAGAAAGCCAAGCTCGACCCAGAGCCAAAAGGGATCCACCGGTGACCAATCCGCGCCCAGGTAATCGATCTCGAATCTCGAGCCAGCCACTAAACATTTCGAGACCGATCGGTCACTCCGGCAATTTCGTTTACCTTCGTCTATTCCATTCGTACTTTCTCGCCGGTCTTCGATTACCCGAGCCCAAATAAATCCCAGCCGGGTCCGTTTTGATTCCCTCTGGGATTCCGCCGACCCGGAGACTTTCCGTCGAGCCGACCGCGTCCGGTCGGTCCGAGAAAGTCCCAAGGCGATTCCATGGGGTTGCCGCGTCCTCCCCTAAGCATCCCCTTCTTCCGAGAGCGGGTCCGGTCCCCGGAGTTCCCCGGGGAACCCCGGGATCCCAAGGTTCCCCTAGGGGACCGGGACGAGGCTCGCGGGGCCGCTCGTCGTTCCTCCCGACGAAGGCACCACCTAGCTCGCTAATTACATAACGGCACATTTCTCCTTAAGGCTTATCGCGCTGTTACTCTGGACCGGCTGCAACGAGACCGATCGGTTCTTCTCCAGGGTGAGCAGGTCCCGGAAGAGGGCGTTGACGTTGTGGTTCGTCTTGGCGGAGGTCTCCAGGAAGCCGCAGCCCCAGTTCGCGGCCTCGGCCGCGCCCTCGCTCATGGAGACCTCCCTCACCGAGGGACTCTCGTCGCACTTGTTGCCCACCTGTCGAACGTACCCACGAGACACACGCTGTACTCGAGTACTCCGAGTGCACCTCGAGGACCCACGATGGCCTCCCGAATTCCCGACCCGGATCGCCCGCCCAGACCCGCCCTTCGGGAATCTTCCGACGAGCGGTCCGGGTCGATCCCCGGATCGATGGATCGACCATCGATCATCGATCTCGCCCGGGCGAGGCGGTGCTCGACCCCGCCTTCTCGAGAGAGACCTTCGACAGGGTCCGGGCTAACTCGTTCAACTTCAACGTGAAGATTCTTACCAGCATGATGGGTATCTGCGAGATGTCCTGGCCCTTGAGCTCGCGGATTACCGCCCAAATCGGTCGGAGTTCCTCGAGGCTCTGTCGCGAGCACACTGAGTAGACCAAGATGAATGCGTGGCCCTTGCTTATCGAGAGCCGCTGCATCGCGGGAAACTGATGAGACCCCGTTGTGTCCGTTATTTGTAGCGTGCATATGTTCTTGTTGCAGCTTATGACCTGCGAATCGGTCGTTCGTGCCTCGTTAAAGGTCCTCCGGCAGCCACGCGAGGCCGATGCCTGATCCTTGGACAAGTGTTCCGGGACTCGGGACTTTATGGAGCCTATGACCAACGGGGACCGCAACTCCCGAAGATGTGTCACGGGTATACGAAGAAAGAAGGCCCGCAGAGAAATAATTCGTTGCCACGGGAAGAAATTTTACTTGCCCCAGCAAACGTAAAGGCTTCAAATGGACCAGTGACATTTTTTTCAAGAAACGCTTTTGTTGCATTGATAACAAGAAAACGGTTACTTCGTTAGGGCGGCACAAATTCTATTCGTGGTTGCCGTATTCTTTGCTAGCGAGAATAAATTGTATGTTGCTCATGTGATCGGGCAGAGGCAACAATATTTTTTGGCTATTGCTACAAATTTATCTCCTAATTTAGCAAACACTTTTTTTTTTCGAGAATACACTCCTATGGTTATACCTATGTTCGATACGATTGCAAACGTTTTTACTGTTGGTGCAATTATTACTGCAGTAAGAGAAAAAATGTATCAGCAATGAAAACATTTATTTATCTACATGTCTGACGTCCCAAAGGGGCTGTCACAAAAAAATCTTGAAGAGCTATCTTTTCGGCCATCGTAGCGTTTATTCCCAGCGGCCGTAGAAAACTGTTTGAAGTATGCGTTACCGCAATTAGCAATTATTTATGTCCTTAGAAGTACTTTTCAACACATTTTCACGATCGTTATACCTTGTGGCACCCGTTTTCTCGTACATCAAAAAGGCGTTGTATGTACGTTTTTTTCATATTTCTTTTTGCTTGCCGTCGTTCACGAATACGAGATTGTGTGCATAGCAACGTAAGATGGCCACTGCAGTCCCTTCTCCTCCTGCGTCTTGAGCTTTAGTCCCTTCGTCTAAAATCTCATTTTATGTTCCATCCACTCTTTCCGTAACTTCTTAGATCCATGGTTCGTACACTGGGGGACATGAATGCCTCCCTTATGGACCTGGTACTGCAGGTGCGGGAAGAGAAGGCATTCATGCCCGTCACTGTACCTTCGATGGAAGCGTGGACGTTCGTTCGGGTCCGAAACTGTCCTCGAGGTCCCGGTATAAGGTCGGATCAGGCATCGGGCGAACGTACGAGCAAACGAGTGCACGTTCCTCGAGACTCGAGACTCGAGACTCGAGTTTCGAGACCCTCACGACACGGGAAGCTTCCGAGAGGTCTCCCGAGCAGGGCTGGAGGATAGAGTGCACCTCCGGACACGCTCGGGGAACATAACGGAGACTTTTTGTGTCGAGTGGGGTGATTTTTTTCTGGTCTTCTCTCACGCGACACAGCGAGGGTCTCGCCAGCCCCCCTTTGTGCAGCTCGGACGCGGTATGGAAGTATTTTCAAACAAGGATTTTATACAGGACGTAGGAGCTACATATTGCAGGATTTAGACATGTTAATAAGCGCAGAAAAATATTTGCTCGAGTCAAGGCAAATTTGGTCAGCTCAACCATAGAATATGGTTATTACATACGCGACGAAATATTTGATTGACGGGGTAAAATTTCATGAGAATAATTTTTGGGTCAATGTATCTAATATCGTTACGTGAGAGATATTGCAGTAATTTGGTACGTTTAGCCAATGTCTGGCTTATTCACTGAAATATCTTCTAAAATGAATAAAACTATTTAATCTAAATACTTTAGGTCATTGATGCAAAGGGGTTTGATCAAGTGAACTAAAACTTTGTTCACTCGTAATAACGGTTTCAAGAATTAACCAAATGCAGTCGGTCGAAAGATTTTATTTAATGGATCAAATTTTTTTCTGCTTATAGGTACTGGATTGGGGTTGGGGTGGAATAAGGGTATACACGGCAAGAACGTGCCCCCAGGATGAAAGAAAAAGGATTTAGACCATCGTGAATATGACGTCCTCGTAACGACGTTTGCTAATATCTGTAATGGGATGTGGTCTCGTTTAAGGCTTTTGTTTATATGGGAGGCGCACGGGGTCGAAAGGAGGCTACCGACTTTGAATTACCTTGGGAACTTTGCTTAACGGCGCACTTACGACATGCGTTACGTGTACTTTGTGGCTTCACGTGCGCGGTTTATTAGCGGGGCATGCCGTCGTTTCCAGTAAAGACGGATTATCGACGAGGGGAAACGAAAAGTGCTTGCATTAACGAAACGCGCATTATCCCTTCATCCCTCGAATTGCTTTGTAAACGAGACGACTATACCAAGAACTCCCCTCGATATTCCCTTCTTCTTCTATTAAAAACCATGAAAACCCTTCATGCTAGAACATTCCTTCCTTAAAAGTACAAACGCGCATAATCTTCCTCCCACGTCTTCTCGATAACGCGATCAAAGCCTAACGTTTAAATTCACGAAGAAATGCCACCGTATCGTTCCCGTCCCTAGTAGCATAGAATAATTTATAAATATTTCTTTGCAATCTTTGCTCAATATTTCAAGCGACAAATTTTTTAAGATTTCTTGTAGATTTCATTCTAAGATATTTGAAATATTTCTTGAAAATCTCAATGACATATTTAGTTTGAATAAATTATAAACATAGAGAAATTATATTTTCTAACTTATTAACACAATAAAAATACATTTTTTACGTCACTACTATTATCGGACACCTCATTTGGTATAAAAAAATACGAGAAATTATTGTAATATTTTCGTTACGCTATTTCATTATGGGAGCAAACGTGTGATTTTGATTTTAAATATTTTTAAAACGTTTATAATGTATTCGGCAGATAATATTTAAAAAATATATAATACTTTTGCTAAAATGATACGAAATGTTCTGTATATCTGTTAGTAAAATATTGTGAAAACACATGGAGGAAATATTATATAAAAATCATAGAAATAATATTCTAAAGTAAACGTTTTGCAAATATTTCAAATGTCTGGTAAATATTTACAAAATGTACGATATTCGTTAAATATATAAAAAATATAGGAGAAATATTTTGTGCTACCAGGGGCGACTCTACTTTCCGGAAAGTTTCCCCACCTCGAGTCTAAGAAAATCACTACCCCGTCACTGAGAGGGCATCAACGGGTACGGTCCCGCACCTCGGGCTGCGCGTCGACGACGCACTCCGCGCGCCGGTGGAGGCAATTTTTGAGGAGGCCCAGAGCAGGGTACTCGGACCGCGAGTGGCGTGGGTCGCTCGTTCCCAAACGATTTGCCTGCGTCGGGGGGAGCGGGAGGTCGCAGGTGTCGCAGGCGGCCGCGACCCAGGCCGGGTCGACAACCTTGGCGTAGGTCGCGCACGCCCGACCGGGAGGGGCCCGAGTCGGCCCGCGGCCGCACGAGGGAGAGGACGCCTCGACATACCTGCCGGTAGGTGTCCTCGATGGTGGGTATGTAGGACTCGCGGAAGGTCCCCTTGACGAACCTCAGGACGAGGGAGCTCTTGCCGACGCCGCCGGCGCCGAAGACCACCACGCGGTAGTCGTTGCTCTGCTCGGGCATCCTGACATCGGCCGTGGCGATGAGAGTAAGCGCCCGAAGGCGCCCCGGCTTGGTCCTGGCGAGGGGCGAGCGCGCGCCCCGGCCTTCAACAGGTCTCCGCGTCCGCTGGCTGCGCCCGGGCGGCCCTAGGCGGCGCCCCAGCCGTCGGCCCCCGGGACCGGCGAGTGCGTCGCGGCGCGCATCGCGCGCGCGACTTCCCTTCCTGGCCTCGAGCAGGTCGCGCGCGACTTCCTCGTCGCGAGAGACGCACTTCGCTCGGAGACCTCCTCGGCGATGACGAACTTCACCTCGTTCCCGCGCGACCGAGCTCTCGCATGGTATTCACCCTGACGCGGCCCTCGACGAATGTCGCGCGCCCTCGAGTTTCGCACGATTCCGAGCGGAGAACTCCGGACGCACGCCCACCGCACCGGGCTCGATCCCTCGGCCGTGTGCAGGCACGTGCGCATTACGCCAAAAGTGCCGAGGAAAATCAATAGCGCCCTCGTGTGCCGGCTCATGGACGAGGAACTTCGCGCCAGCGACCGAGGGAACGGAGCGCGCCTCGAGTGCGCCTCGAGTGCGCCAGATTAAGCGAGCTCGGCGCTAAGGGCCGCGCGGTCTTCCATGACGGAAGGGATTCTTTCTACGATTAGAGGAATCTGGAACTTGGTATAATTGTGTACCGTCTGCGGAGGAATCCCAATCCAGTGGAGCCGTTCAGAGAATGCCGAATCTTCCCGCTGTTACCGGCCGAAAGACGATTTACGGACTCGCGAAAAAGGCAGTTTTCCTTCACGAAATGAACAATGCTTTTCCAAAATAATGGATTGATTACAGATTAATGGAGTGACTGTTCATATTAGACTGAAATCGAGGAAATTGTAAAAATTGTCGGATTACGTTACCTCCCGAATTGTTACCAGCGACAAGTCTGTGTCTAAATAAAAGCTGCTTGTGCTTGGGATGGCTGTACTTACATTCAAAAATGGGAATAAATCGCTAATGAAACATTTTCGAACAATTTTGAAACTGAAAAATAGATTAAATCTGTGAATTTGTTCCGCACGTGCCGTTCACGCGTGATATCCTCCGGTATAGGTAAGGAAGGACAATACACGGTTTGCGGTCATCGGCACAGATGTCGATGTAATAAACTTCTAATGAAATAAATATATTATAATGTAATTAACTAGGAAGGAGTAAGTATACAATCAGTTATTTTTAGAGTGCACGCGAGCACATTTCCTAAATTTTGCCATGGGATGCCATTGTCAACCGATAATGCTACTGCCTTTTCTTGTTTCGTTATCCAAATGGCGCTTGGATCGATTCGATCATTTCATTCGACTTCGGTATCCCCTTAAAGGGACTAAATTTATTGACAGCACGAAAATATCAATTTTTCTGACAGATACAAGAGAAAATGAAACACAACATTTAAATACAGTTTAAGCGTGTTATTAACTATATTTTTGGGTGCATATTATCATTTTATAAAAAGGAACTGTTTTGAAACCTTAAAGTCAGTTTTCAAACAATGCCATTTATCATGCTTTCTCATAGGATATTTCACGTGTTCTACACGTATTGATAGAATATGTGACTATACAAATATACCCTGTCAACCATGTAGAAGTAAAATTATTCAAAATGTTTATTGCACCTTAATATCTTTTTTGGTCAGTTTCCTTTATTTTTATACCAAATCATTTTTTGAAATTATTGAACGCTATTGGAAATTAACGAGAATGGTCATTTCTGAGCAGATACTTCTCATGTTCCTTGTGATTCTATAATATATAACTGAAACATTTTTTTTTAAATAATAAATTATCATAACAATATATATTTAAAGGTATGATTAATAACATTCTTAAACTGTATTTAAATATTGTTTTATTTCGTTCCTGCACGTGTTTTAAGAATAGAAGGTACTCATGTGTGATACTCTGGAACGCTGTAGGCGATATAATTCGCAGTGAGAAACAAGCTGAGAATTTCAAACGATTATCGCTGTAATGACTTGGCTCTATGGAATATTCAGTTTCAAATTACTCCGTCTACAAAGCGTTAAAACGAAAATTACTTTAATGTATGAATTATAAACTTTGAATGCATTTAGGTTCATTGATATTATCTTTTAGACTCAGGAGATAGAATCAATTAATGATAACAAGAAAATGGATATCTATGTCAATCGATATATTAATCCTTTAATCAATTAATAATCGATTTAGAAGAAACAGTTCAGCAATTCAGAATTATGCTTCCTTTAAAGCTGGGTTCCTTGTAACAATGTCACTGCCTTCGTTTTCGATAGATTCGTAAGCCCACTTTCGATTGTTCCTAGAATAAAGGGCACCAGTTGAATGATTCATTGTGCTTAAATAGAATATGATGTAAATAAAATATATTTTTACCGGCACTCATGACCACATTTAGTAGACGAACACTTTGGACAAGTAAAGTGACATCCGGGACAATCCTTTTGTAAGCAATCGCAAAGATTCTCTCCTGTTTGTGTAAAAATTCCTTTTTCGTCGTATGCGTGGTGTCTTTTTCCTCCTAGGTATAACCTTCGATTCAATTTACGTTTCTCACGTTCGCTTCGCTCGGGATCAAAGTTCCTTAAAAATTTCTTTGTTACACTGTCGACTCCTCGATGTCTAGAACCACGTGTCCCTTTCTATGAGTCAAATAAGAAAAGGATTAAAGATATCTAGTTAAAGTACACTTCAAGAAATCAGAATATGTACTCTTTCAGCTCGTGGTTGTTCTCCGGTTCTTTGTGACGAGTCCTTGGACGTTTCCATGTTTTAAATCTATATCGAGGGACATCATTTTCATTCAATAAGAATAGCTTCACATTGTCCGGATAGGAGCTAGAACGGAATAAATTTGCAAGGGCTTCACGATATAAAGATCGGTCCACAAAAGTTACGTTACCTTCTCGAAAATTAAATTATTATCTGTCCACCTATTACGTACCAAGAAGGTCATGCGAATTGATTCTGAATTACGTGAAGTCATTCCCAAATTCTTATTAATACATCTTCGAATGAAGAAAGTGTAGCCTCGCAAAGTAACCTATACCATGTCACCTGATGTCAACAACCAGAGATGAGTTGGGAAATTGCTCACGGGCAGGGTCGCGCGATCACATCGTGTGCTGCCCTCTGGTTTCGTACGTTAGCTTTCACCGTTTTTTGCCCCCAAGGACGGCGCAACTTGGACGACGTCACCGGCCCAATCACGGTTCATTATCGGGCCGGTGATGGACCGTGATTGGGCCGGTGACGTCGTCCAATCACGGAGTCGGTTACGGCCGGGGATTGCGGCCCGGCCGGCGGATCGCCAGTTGCCCCTGAAAATTTGCCGCGATATGATGTCGTCGAAAATTAAGAAAATGGTGGGGGGCGCGAGGGCAGCGGAAGCGGACACAATCGAATAAATGTGCAATACGTTCGGACTGCGCATCCTCGGATCGCAGGTCGTCGTTTTGCTAGCTTTTGAATCTGCTCGCGGAGTAATTTTTTTTTTCCAAATTCGAAAAATCAGGGGATTGCCAAGCGTTCGAGACGTAGGGGGCTCTGCCCGAAGAGACTACAAGTGTCGAAGAGGCTATATGCCGAAGCGGCCCCTTAAGAAGAGGGCAACTACGATGGCCTTCCATTCTTTCGAATGAACAGTCATCCATTTTTTTCGCCACGTTGTCCCTCTTATTTTTCGTATATCCTTCTGTCTGGATTGACGGGGAGAGACGGTGAACTATCGTTTTCATGAAATTTTCTTGAGTTTGCATTTAAGTAAGATAAATATATTTGATTTTTGTCACGCCAAGTAATGTATAATTGAATACATTTTTACTGGGTCAATTATACGAGATCGATGCACTGCGAAATATTCTTCACTTTAATGGTAACTTTAGTAAGTTATTAGCTCTTGTATCACCGTCTCTTTCTCGCTTTCCCAATGATTTCGTATGTGCCTTTGTGTTCCCTTTCAGCTTTAGGTGGGCCATTTAAGAGAATCTGGCGACTTCCTGGTGTTTCTTCAATGTTCCGTTTTACCTGTACTTTTGTGCCTCTATGCAGGTTTAGGTGGATCACCTGGAAGCAGCTGATTTGGCAGAGATGAGATGGGAGATTGCCATAATGGTAAGCCACCGCCGTCAACTGCCGCATGGTATTACCATCACGAATACGTGAGCCGCCAACGGCAACTGGTAGATGGCACAGCCATCGCGAGTGCGCGAGCCCCTATCAGAAATTCGTTGCGCCGCCCTTGGGGGCTAAAAACGGTGAAAGCTAACGTACGAAACCAGAGGGCAGCACACGACGCGATCGCGCGACCCTGCCCGTGAGCAATCTCCCACTCATATCTGGTTCTTATTGTCCAATTGTAACATATGCTGCAGCATATTGTTGCGGTCATGGACGTAAGATTACATTGACGGAGTAAAGCCTGAGGGGTGGTGTTGAAGTAAGTAAGGGGAGAACACGTAAGAACAGTGGGAAGGTAGCCATATTGTTGTGCTAAAATCTTAGCTTCCTCTGATTGGCTGAGATTTAGTTGCCACTTTACGAGCAGTGAGGAAAAAACGGTGCGGGCGTGAACAGATAAATTGTGAATAAAATATGTACATACATACGTATATGTCACAACGTATGAGGCCGATATTTCATTACACTACAGCACAAGCGATGGAGTGACGAAGCGCGAATAAGAGGTTCTGATTGGCTGTAAAGAAACCACGGAATAGGAAATTCCGTCTTACGTTCTCTGCAGCCAATGAGAATTCTTTATTCGCGCTTCGTCGCTCCGTCGCTCGATACTGTGACGCTAATGAAATATCGGTCACAGATCCTCGGTTCTCTTCCGTTTTCGCTGTATTGCTAGCGAATGGAGTAAAAAAGGAACTAGTCTCTGTGTGCGTGAGCATCAGTGCACGAATCACTATTCGGATTAGAATATGGCAGAAATTTTGAAAAAAGCTTTGAAAGAGAAATTTAATCACGATGCTTTCAAAAGTACCATTCAGTTGGAGGCCACTAAGGCTGTCTATGAAGGTTAGAATTAATGTAATTACACAGGATTTAAAAATGTCTTAATGAAAGTTGCTGTTACATACAGTATTGTTTAACGGATAACGGATACTCTTGCATTTGCATACTGTACGCGTTTAAATGTATATCTTATGTACTGACAGTTATACATGAACGCAGCATAACATGTCTTGTATATTGCCATTGTTACAAAAGCAAACGTTTCTATTCATTTGTGTACAATGTATTGTAAAACATTGCATAATTTAGTAATGCATTTTTACACAAATTTAAGTTGAATTTAAGTTGAATTATTAATTTTTATTAAATGGTAATATATGTTTTGTACAGGGCAATGTACTCAGTTATTAAATGTGAGAAGCGGTGTAAATAAATAGTTGCATGACGATATTTGTTCGATACATATATAGTAGGTTTTTAAAGTAGATACAAGGCATTGATTTTCTATTTTAATATATTGACATTTTATATTTACATAAGATGAATTGATATGTCTGATGGAGACACATTATTAAAAACGTAATTACAAAATATTTTAGGAAAAGAAGATGTTTATATTTGTATGCCCACGGGATCAGGAAAATCTCTTTGTTTTCAATTACCGGCCATTCTGCAAGAAAACAAAGTTGCGCTCGTGTTTTCACCACTTATTGCCTTGATGAAAGTATGTAGAAAAAAAAATATTGTTTTATATCTTTTGTACGTATTTCTAAGATGATTGTTTTTGTAGAATCAAATAGATTTTTTAACAAGCAAGAAAATACGGGCATGTACATTTAACTCACGAACTCCAGAATCGGAAAGGAAAGAGATAATGAAGGATTTAAACTCGAAGGAGCCAAAGCTAAAATTACTTTATATTACTCCAGAGATGAGCGTACAAATGAATTTTCAGGTACATCATGAGATTTAATCTGTGATGTTTATAGTATTTATTTTATATGTAATTATATTATGATTCCTGCTCCTTTTTTGATTTGATAATAATAGTTTGCTTGAACTTTTTAGAACTTTATAGAATCTTTAAGTAAGGCAAAAAAGATTTCATACTTGGTCATAGATGAAGCTCATTGTTTAAGTGAGTGGGGACACGATTTTCGACCAAGTTACAGGAAATTAGGTGTTTTCAAAATAATATGCCCTGATATTCCTATTATTGCCTTAACAGCAACAGCTACCAAGGAGGTACTGTATTGTTCTCTTCTCATGGCGTTAACTGTTTTTGTGAAAATCTTGCATTGTTTGCGAGACAAATTACTTTTGTCATTTTATTTTTAAATATTCTAGGTAAAACAAGATATATTTGAAACCCTCTGTATGACAAAACCAAAGATATTTTCAGTGCCAATCTTTCGTTCTAATCTTTACTATGATGTGTGGTTTTTGGATTCAATGAAAGATCCCTTTCAACACCTAAAGAAGTTTATTGAAGATTCACTTGGAATTACAAACAAGTCTCTTCCTAAGGTAAATTTATGCGATGATGGGTCAGGGTAATAGTCAATAAAGGAATGATTACATAATTGTTAATAAATGATTAGCAAAAATGTATGTTTATATGATCAAAAACATCTTCATAAAAGTGGTTCGAAATTTGTGTTATTTCTTATATGAAGATATTTTTTTTCTCAGGAAAAAAGAAATTCTGGTATAATTTACTGCAGAAAGAGGGAGACAAGTGAAACAGTTGTGGAAAAACTTAATAAATTAGGCATACCAACTCTTGCGTACCATGGTGGTATGTATTTTTACTTTAGTGAAATTTAAATATAGTTTTTTTTTTAGTAATACGTTTTTCTGATAGGTTTGAAAGCTTCTGATCGGGTTACTGTCCAGGATAAGTGGACTTCGGGTGAGGTCCCTGTTATTGCAGCAACCTGTAGTTTCGGAATGGGTGTAGATAAGGGTTCTGTAAGGTTGGAATAATGAAAATATTTATATATTTATGTACAATAAGCTTGCTTATGCATGAAATTGGTTATTACATCCATTTTTGTCATATAGTTACTAATGGTTATGATTTTTAAACGCAATAGATTTGTTGTACACTGGACAATACCACAAAACGTTGCTGCATATTATCAAGAATCTGGAAGAGCTGGTAGAGATGGCAAACCAGCCTTTTGTCGAATTTATTTGAGTAACAATGAATATTCTGCCATTTCATTTCTCTTAAAAGATGTTAATACTGGTAAAAATGCTGATCAGGAAAAGTTGAGGTGGAAAGGGTTTGAACAGATGGTTGCATACTCTCTCGAAGTAAAGTACGAATAGATTCATATTTTTCTGAAGTAGTTGTAGAATTATAAAGTAGATATCGATCACGTAATTATATTTGTATTTTCAAGTGACTATTGGTTTTATCTCTTCTTAGATGTCGACATGCTGTCTTTTCAAAGTATTTTGGAGATAGTCCACCCATATGTAAAGACAAATGCGATGTCTGCAAAGATGAGCAAGTTGTGAAAAATAAAATTGCGGAATTTGAAATGTGTCAAGTAAAAGCACGGATGCCAGCTAAAAATTTTGAAGGATTTGGTCTTGAAAAATTTGATTATGAGTAAGAAACAAATTAAATAAATGTTCATGTCTATTACAATTTTAATCAGTCAACTCAGAATTACAGTATATTTCATGATTAGGAATGTAAACATTAAACATATTCATGATCGTTATTTTTAGTGCGTGTGATAATGAAGGTTCAAGAGATAGTGATTCACAAGAATCTAAACGGGAAGAAAAAGAGTTTATACTAAAGCAATTCGCTTTACGCAGAGGAAATCGAGTAGAGCAGGTATGCTTGTGCACCTTTCAAAGTTTTTGAAATTAAATATTTTGTGCTTAATATTCATATTTACTTCAGGTAAAAAAAGAGAATATCGAATTAGCCAAAACCGCAACAGTATATGCCGCAGAAAGCACGGATAGGAAAATAAAAGGCTTAGCTGTTCAAGTGAGTTTATTATGGGATGTATACTTAATTTTATGAACGGATTTTATATTAAAATTGTGAGATTGCTGAACTCATATCATGAAATGATATCTATCTACAACATATCACAATTTATTTTTACTTTAGGTTCGTGAAAACATGTGTAATGAATTACGAACAGCTCTATTGGAAAATTATAACAAACTTCAGGTCATTGATGAAATTGATTCTTGCATCAAAGAAAAAGATGTTGATGAATTGGGTTTTGAGTTGGAATATCAGGTGTTATGTAGTACTAAAATTGCCTCTAGATACAGATATAATATCTCTCAATTGGTAAGTGCATTATAATACTTGTGTTTATGTAACACATTGTTCAGAAAGTGCAGAAGTTACTATCAAAGCAAAGGACTTATGGAAGTATCATTTTCTTTGAAAATCTGTGATTATGCTTGTCCACATATAGAAAAAATATAAGGTCTTGAAAATTAGTATGTTTTTTGTATAAGAAAATTAGAGATATGTAAATGTCCTAGATGGTAGCTGTTGACTTCTTGAACTCTTGTATTTACTAATTAAATTGCTTGGAATGGAAAGACAGTGATTTGATATCTGTATATAGAAATAAAAGTCATTATTGGGGTTTTTAAAGGTGTCATCTGTTAGAAAGTGCACTAGTACCGCTACAATTGATGTACATATACAAGAATTAATTTCAAAGAAGCAAACATCTTCTACTAATACTAGCAGTAACAGTAATATGAAGGAAGAAATATTCGAAAGATTTAACCCTTCTACAGAGTTTGACGATGATCAATTGTATAATGGTGAAAATATAGGCAGTGTTTCGAGAAAGAAACGATATGAACATGGATTCAGGACAGCCCTAGAAATAAGCAATAGTGCTTCTAAAAGTGTAAATAAAATTCATAATTCAATAGAAAGCAGCTTTACAAGTTCAGTTAAGACTGTTTATGATAAGTTAAGTGACGACAAGGAAATTGATAATAATTTAGAAGTAAAACCGTTTGAGTGTGGTTTTAAGACTGCCTTAGAAATAAGTAACAGTTTTAAAAAACTTTCCGAAAATCCGGTATGTTCAAAGAAGGGCAAAAAGGGTACTAAACTTACCGAAAAGTGTAGTTCCTCACAATCGAAAATTGAAACGTATTTTAAAAGTGTAGATAAAAGCGAAAATAGGAATGGTGAAAAGGAAGACGAGATAATAGATAAAAAAATGCAGCCGGAAATTTCTTCGATAACAAAAACAACGTTACTTCGACTAGAGGCCAAAGAGTCAAAAGAAGCGTATGTGAAAAAACTAGATGTAAAACATGCTAAACAAAAAGAGCAGGTTAATTTAAATTCAAGAATTGAGAGCGTGGAACAGGATTTGGACGGAATATATTCAGACAATTCTTATAATAACAATATACATTATAATATTGCAGTTTCTGATATTTCTAAAACAATAGAAGAAAAACAGAAACATATTGGTCAAAACGAAAAAGATATGGCAGATACAAGACAATTGTTTGTTACTGAAAAAACTGCTGATAAAAGGAAGCGTAAACATTCTGATTGTGTAGATAAAAAACTATCTCTTCAGACTTCGAAAGATAGGAAAAGACCCAAAATCAACCCTGAAAAGAACGAAATTAAATCGAAATCACCACTTGATAAAAAGAAGGATCAGGGTAAAAACAATATCACAATTGAATCATTAACAGTACTCAAAGCTGAGGATCACAATGTACACAAAAATGATAATATTATGTCTTCTAGCAGTAGGCATAAACAAGAAGAACGAAGCAAGAAAGCAAATTGTAAACAATATGAAAAAACTAAAGGTGTAGATAAAGCTGTACAATTTGAGACTGCTCGGATTTTAAAAAAATATTTAATGAGGCACTATCCTTCGCCGCCGATTCCGGATAAGGCAACATTTACAAGTGTTTGTCGGGAAATGCATCAGGATATTCTTGGACGACAGATATATGGTAATATAGTATTTGCGGCATAATTGAAAGATGAAAATATTAAAAGCATTTGAACAACTAGTATGGGTTTCTTGTTGGAATTAGTTTCATAAACGTATTACCATATAAAACTGTTATATCTTATTTCAGCTCCTGAAGGCATAAAAAATGTTGTAAAGAAATTTATCATTGATAATAACAAACAAAAACAGCCATCTTCCAGCTCAGGAATGCAACATACTTAAAATAAGAGATTCTATAGTTGAATCCATATTCGTCTGATTTCACCAATTGCTCACATTTGTGAGTTACCCAGGCATAATTCCAGAGATATTAGCTCACCCGTTCCTCAGTAGGACATGTTAGTTTCTATTGTATGATATCGTTCCTTGTCCCGGAAATTATACGTTCCTATTTTTGCTTCTTTAGTTGAGTGTATAATAATTTGTGAGAATGACTACCTTTTAAAATAAGATGTATTTCTAATATTTATAATAAAATGGAAGAAAAATTTGAACACCTCATTTGAAGTGAAATTTCTTGTTTTATCAGCATAGTGCTTTATATCACTGAAAAATAGAAAATACATAGTTCCCGTTGTATTAAATGTATGGTAACATTTAGTCATTGTCAAGGGATAGTATGGGTTACTGGCAAAAGTAAAATCATTTTAATGTTTATTATAAAATTCCTTTATTGAGCAATGTTTAACGCGCACTCAGATCACAATTAGATCTCACTGGCAAGATTCGCACTGTTTCATTAAATAATTAAGTGAAAAAGTTTTTATCACATTCCACTGCGCACCGGCGCAATTAAAATTGCTATTTCACTGATATTGCGGACTTGAGGCAGATTCTCTTAAATCGAGAAAATGATGTATAAAATTATATTATATATTAAACTACGGTTTATCGCTATTCTGCGTATTAATCCTCATTATTATATAAATATAGAAACATGAAAATATTTGCATGTTATCGCATGCAATGCGGTTTCGTCATAAAGGCAATTATCATAAATAAGGCAAGATTGCTGCTTGGTTTGCAACAAGAATTTTTCTTGTGCAGTAAATAATGTATCTTTAAGTTGGATACGATTGTAAACCATCTTTTGATCACGCTTCGTTAAATTCACATTCAATAATCAATGTTTGCGTGACCACATCTTCTTTTAATAACATTAAAAAACTTATTTACTTCTCTTGAAAATTTTCCATTTCTTCGGTTGTTTTATAAACTTAGACTTTTTATTTGTATCTATGTATGGTCATATGAATTTCTCAATTGATTATGCAGTTTATGAAAACAATATATCATAACAAACAGCGTATTGCTGTTGACGCTGATGCTCATATTTACATATTTACAAACGCTGTCTAAGAGATTTTGTTTTAACTGCAATTAAAAATGTGATTATACGAAACGTACATACATGTAATGTATTCTGCTGTCATGGATTTAAATTTGTACTAAGACATATTTTAGATTAATTCGTACGGATTCAAGCCATTATTTTAAATGATTGAAACTGTATTTTTTGGTTTTCGTGCATAACTATACTGATAGGTAAATGTTTGTAATTTGGGAATGAATTTAAAAGCAAGAAGTAATATCTTTTATTTTAATAAAATAGGCGACTCGTTAAGGATTCGTCCGTCTATGAATTTCTTAGGTTGTGTACAGTTGTAAATTAACAAACGGTACTACTTGCAGTCAATGCTACAATTCTTCAAGATCGACAATGTTTGAGTAGACAGTCACACACTTTACATAAGTTCTTTTGTAAAAGAGTAATATAAAAAATGATAATCACTTATATTTGTTGTTTAATAGAGAACAAATATTTTCAGCTGGTATTAATTCATAAGGAGAAGACTGTTTAACTTGCATCCATACAAATCTAGTTCAAGCCTGTTTTTAGCTATAAATTTACATTTTTTACTTATTCGCAGTACAGCTTCCATTTAAGTATTAATTTAACACGCTATCAAACATGGATGTACGTCAAGTATTTGATTTCTGAATGACAGCGAGCGATCTCATTGTAAAAGGCACATTGGCAGCTGACATACAGCTATTTGATCTACGACTTAAGGTGATTTACCCGGCAAATTATTCTACCAAAACAGAATGTAGAAAAGAAGTTTTTAATAAAATTATTCAATGAGATCGTTCGACTATCTGCCGTACAATTTTCTTTGTCTAAGTGTCTTCAACTTCAGTCGTGAAGAAAATTAATGCTTATGCCTGGCGACCTCTTAGACAAGGTAGAATAATACTTGTTTTAATCTTAAAAACAACGTTGATCTGTACCCAGTAAGTAATACTGTATATCATTCAGCAGAAATATTTTAGCACTGTTTTAAAATGTCTCCCAATTGTTGACATCCTATAACACTCCGTTTTATTTCCGTCTATCAACATTCGACATTAAGGTGAAGTGAAACACGACAAAAATAAAAATTTTCAAAGTGTCAGGATAATTCCTAGGTGCTTACGAGTCATGTGTCAAAGGTTTCCGACAGTTATATTCAATACCGTAAAAAAAATGTCTTATTCGAATCGATTGATTTGAGGGAGGTGTCACTTCACCTTAATTGGACGAAAGTCGATGACTGTCATGAAATCGATAAAACAGGTTTCGGGAATTTCCTCGTTACGTTACGATGTCACAAGAGTTCGAAATACCGTGCAGCATGCGATCAAGTGCACTTTGCTGAGTAATCATACAGTGCTATTTACGTTCGCGAAAGCAGTAAGTTGGATACGCCATCGTAAGTACGTGTCCGATTTTCATCGAGTACGTCAAGCTGGACAGAATTGACGAAACTCCAAATGGTGCAATTCCCAACACGTGTACTGCGTGTAATGACATCTCACTATCACGCGTTCACGAGCTATCGCTAACTCGAAGTTCTTTAAGTCTTCACGCGGCGAATTGACAAATCGTTGGGTTTGCCCCTTTTCGACGTCCATCGATCAGCTGAGATACGCCACGAGATTCGATATCCAATGCCAAGATCTAGAATTACCAAAGACTAAGTTTTCGAGAAAAGGGCTGGCGCCAGTTTGGAGTTTCGATCTGCAAGATCTACTTCTAGTCGCTTAAGTCGCCTTCTAAGTCAACAGAAGGTTTAGAAGCGAATGCCTTAAAAAGATAGACACTTGATCGGGCCTGGAGCAAGATTTGGCACGAATGGATGGCCACATCCAGGCTTTCAGGGTCAGTTCATTTTGGTCGTTCGTGAGAAGACTCAACAAAGTCTCGCGTCAAGTACAATGGCGGACATGAATGCCTCCCCTGTGGATACGGCATCGCCTGTGCAGGATGGGAGGGCATTGATGTCTCCCAGTGTACAATGGCGGACATAAATGCCTCCCCTGCAGATACGGCATCGCCTGTGCAGGATGGGAGGGCATTGATGTCTCTCAGGGTACACTTCGTTTGGCTGGGCTCGGTTGTACGTATCACGAGCGACCGATTGCGGCTTCGTTCATAATCATACTTAGTGTCAATCCGAGATCACCCTGGACGTAGAAGTGTCGCTTTAACGCAAAGCATATCACCTTCTCGTTAATATCTTTGGGACGGAGTCCACGTTTCACGCCGGTCCTTTCGACGTGTATCGCGAAAAGACACGTCGGAATTTGGCCTCCTGATTTTTCTTCGCAATGGCAGTAAATATTACTGCCAAATATCTCCTTGAAGTCGAGTACTCATGGTCACACGATTTCTTCGTCTAGGCACTGGAAGTTCTGCATCGTTATACCGGGTAAAGGTTCCTCTTGAGGGTTTAGCAAGGAACTGTAGTACGTATCCATTTCCTTCGTTTTAATGGACTTCCTTCCGTCGTTGAGGAAACTTAGCCTCTTTCTTTGCATTTCTTCCTCGTACCATCGGCCTGTCGCGATGGAAGTGCTCGGCTTATACAATAAAATTTTTACTACGCTCCATACAAGGAATATGGCACCAGCTAAGAACAACGAGTACGTGGCACCTTCTTGTACTACCGGTAGTACATTTAGGTACAACAGGAATCGGTTGTTCATGCTTGTGGGCAGCTCAGTCATTCCCTGAAACATAAAAAAAGAAATGTTATTTACGTTACTCTATTTATACAATTATGGATATAATCTGATACCACTGTATCGTTCGATTGATTTCACTAGAGAATCCTCTTTTATTAATTTACTCAGTAAGACATTCGTTTATTTTCATTTTTATTGCTTGGAATCAAAATGCATTTGTCTGTAGATAGGTATGCGTACATACGCAGAGTTGACTCTTTTTCTAAGGTATTTAAGAATTAATATTCAAGATCGCTCTGTGAAATATTTTATATTGTTATCTTTTATTTGTAGCTGAGTTTAAGATACGCAAGGTATTAATGAAAATGTTGCAAAGCATTTACGACTTACAATATCGAACCACAGTAGGGGTAGAACCATGTTGGAGAACTGCTCCACCCTAGCTATCCGATCGATGTTTTGGAAGGCCATGTTAATTTGGAAACGGAAAGCCAGATCGACCGGAAGTCCAGATTTCGGTTGAATAAAGAAGTACGACTCGTGTTCATTAGGACGAGGCTCGAGACCTTCCACTGCTGCCAGTAGCGAGGGATCCGATTTGTAGAAATGAGGATAAGACAAGGCAATTGGGAAACCTGAAAAATTAATTTACATTAATTACCACGAAATAACGTTCCTATACTTTCCAAAATCTTACATTACCCTGCATGCAATGACGTAAGATGAATGAAATAGTACATTATATCAAGAATGTAGAAAAAACGAAAAAAGTGAATATATGTAGCCAGGAAAGGATGATTAATGAGCGGCGGAAAATTCAATTTAAATTTCGTATACGGCACGTTCAGTAATTAAAGAGTTTGCGAGAATAAATGCTGAGATAGTTACATGCTCACTGATTACTCAAGGCAATGGCCGAAACAAAGGGAAATATTGTTAATGATATTCTAATGAAGTTCTTGGATGAACCTTTCAACATGAATTCCGACTTCTATAGTCGGGTAATTGTGTAAGAATTTGCACGTTTCCATACGATTAAATATTGCTATCGATTCTTGTGGGTAGTCAACTACTCAATAATATCGTTTCACCGAGCTAGAATTGACGTCATTTCGCGTTTTTTTTCCCTCAGGTGCATATTCCAACTTGTCTTTTCCATTTCGAAAGATGCTAGTCACCCGTTGATGTATAATATGGCCATGAGGAGGATTCGTGGAAAAAGCGGGGAAAAACTGTGACGATTTATACAAAATATAGCAATCTCTCGTACCGTAGTAACAATCCGTGACGTCGATTAATCCAGCTGGTAAGCATCTGCCTTGTCTGCAGAAGCACTTGTTCTCGGGGTTGAAAGCTCCATTGTCTAATTCGTTCTCGACAAACTTGTATTGATAAGTGTGAAGGCCCTTTACGGTTTTTTCGCCAGTTCGGTACTGCAAGTACAGAGAAACAGGTATAGATATAAGTATTAGTTGCAATGTTTAATTCTTTTAATTAAATATCTGATATATTGGCACCTTTCTCACGAATTTCAACGCGAGGAGAATAACTTTGATCTAACTCTGATCAGTCATACTAAGGAAATTAGTAGAATAGGACACAAATACTCGTATTTTATTTTTTAGAAAGTAACTAATAAATTAACGTTGTCAGTAGATTTCTCAAAGCTTTTTAGAATATTTTCTGGAATTTTTTAGAATATCATTCAACACTTACCATCTTAGCGCTACGGCAAAGACTTTTTCGGAAAAATAGTAAAGTATCGTTGGGCTCGATGTAACTTGAAAATTTGGCACCGTCACTAGCTCCTTTGACATTGGCACACTTTCCAGTCCACTGAGGTAGATTGACATCGCCGTTGTATTTCTCAATCAATCCGGTCAATTTTACGTCGTTTTCCCCGGTGTAAACCGTCTCATAATCGCCTTCAAAATCGTACATCTGCAAAATAAATTAATCCTTGTGAATTTCGGCATTCGAGGAGTCTATGTTTTTCTTGAGGGGATAATATTTGTAAAAGGAAACAACGTAAATATCTGTTTACGAGCAAACAGAGAAGTAAAATTGCTTTGGTACTTACTCTATCGATTAGACCAAGTTTATCAAATTTAATCCATGCCGGCATCAAGTGGTTGCCCAATGTAACGAGGGTTGACTCGTAACCGAACATAAACTCTCGTGCTGTCATTTGGACTAATGGTTGGGAGTCAGTCTGCCTTATTAACATATTCAATCCCCATGTCGTAAAAATAGATGCATCTCGCATGACATTCGCGATACTCTGAAATCATAAGATTATTTTATTAATTTCTTTTTTTTTTTAATTTAAATTAATAACCGATCATGATACAATGAACGTTGGAATCGAGAATGAATGCATATGAACAATTGTCACGATACTTTTGATTATTTTGTTTAGTTTTACAGTGAAGTATTGCTCACTTAAGACTTAAAATTACATGTATACGCATCGATCAAAAAATATAGGGAAATTTTTCGCATAAATTTTATGTTTGTTTTTGTTAAGTAGTACGTCTTGGAATGTGACATATTTTTAAATAATCGTGTATACAATACTAAGAGAAATCAAATGTAAATTAAGCCGTATTTAAACATGATTTGTCGCATTGACGGTATATTGTTAAGATGATGTGATTAAAATGAAATGCTCATTTTTATAGATATTTCTTGTACATCTGAGTTGTCTATTGGATTGCTACTTGATCTAGACAAGCAATTTCTAGTTACGTCTATATTATAAGACGCTAATTTGAAAAGCATGGGAAATCGCCATAATTATACTTGAATAGCAATTCCAGTAATTACATTATAGTTTTTATTGAATGTGCTTATTAATTGGCAAAAACTTCAATGGCATTTATTCTTGCACTCCAATTTATTATAATACTCTGAAAAGTTTAGAGATCGTATACCATAAATAAATTTAGGGCATGAGAATGAGTTTAGTAATTGTACAGAAGCGTTTACGGAAGACATAGTGTCTTGGAATAAAGATACCGCGAAATTACCAACGTTAAATATATATTCGTCATTCGTAGGTGCATATAATACTGAGTGAAATGATAGTGGTGTGACGACACCTGTTTGCAGAAATCAAGGGTAATCACAAGTAATGATCGCCAGTGCTCGTCAATAGCCACCGTGCTCTTCACGCCATAATCGTTGACACAAGTGACCTAACTGCAGTGTATTGTCTTCAGTAATCCGAGAAATCATTTTTTGTATGTAATTTCTTCGTACCAGCCAGTTCTCTACCAACAATTTGCGAGCGATAGGAATGTTCTCGAGCTATAACCAGTATTTAAGGTTGTGAAAAGTATACGTAATTTCAAGGAACGGAAATAATTATGACAAAAGCCTAGGAAAGGGTTATTTCAAATTCCACCGAGATTTCCAGAAAATTGGAGTTATAAGTCACCATCAGAATTTATTCGGTCCGATCGAATGGATTGTCGGAATTCATTATTTCCGTGTAAAGTACCGAGTACATATATAATGCTGTCACATGTTAATAACAGACGGAAAATGACAGGCAGTTCTAAAAAGTTTCTGATTATTTCGCGATACTTTCCAAAAAGTGTTGGAATTCGCAGTTCGACATTCAGACGAACCTGTTCTCGTGATATTTTATAACTTATTAGTTTACTAAGGTTTTTTGATTTACTGCAGATATTCACTGTCATTAAGAAGAATTTGTCTCAATGATTTACCTGGAGCAAATATTTACATGTCTGTATATAGCGGGCTTAAAAGCATGACGGCTATCGAACAATCAGTCAATACGAATTAGCTTTCTCTTGTTTCGACAGAAGTTAACGATTGAATTGTTGGTACTGCAAGGACACTCGAGACTTGTTTCTGCCATGGAATTGGTCGGTTCAAGAGTTTAGTACGCGCGTATGGTATGTAATGATTACTTGTGATTGCGTACTCTCTAATCAGAGTAATTTTGTACAATTTTTGAGGTTGTACTCAGTAGAGATAAATGTTTCCACATTAGATTGTATTTCAGTAATTTCCTGACATAAAAAATGTATTCATTGGGGCAATTTTGATCATTATCATAATACCGTGTACATACCGCTTCAAATTTTACCTCTTGCGATAAGGCGTATGCCCGTAATGACGGTAGTGAAATAATGATTCCGCGAACCCACAGGAAATGCCTTCGCTAATCGCAGATCAATGTCCTGCTAAATACATTCAGTGAATTCTGTTGAAATTTAGAAAGAAATGCAATTAACGGCGAAAGCAAGATTTTGTAATAAAAGACAATCTGCGCAAAAACATATTTTATATTTAAGCCTTTGTATTAATATTTAGAGATTAAAAAATGGAAAAAAGTGTTAAGAGAACATTTAAGAAGTCTGGATAGAAGAGGTGATTGCCGTACACATATTTTAATATGTTAAATGAATAAATTAGAAATATAAGTTATTGGAAAACGTGACACTGATATTAAATTGAGAAAAGTTTAAAATGAAGATTGATAAAGCCCTGATAATTAGATCGAGATACATCATTTGATTGAAGTAATTAACTCGACACCGTTCTTGGAGAATTGAAGTTGTTAATATTTCATATGTTTTTATTTATGTTACTTGCCTGGCTTTTATTTATGCTTGTTCACGTTATAAACGTCGTTTATTTCTGTCAAATAATTTTCCATACTTGTTCCTTTGTGACGTGAGTGCAAACTGGTTGGTACCATACATGCGGATGTTGTTACTCGCACGAATCATTAGAGTAGCTAATAAAACAAATGACTTGCTGCAGAAATAATTGCCATCATCACTAATTATGCAGGGAACTTGTTATTGCCAGAAAATGCATACGTCCTTTCGATTATCATTATAAGACATGGGTTTACTCCTATTGTGGATGCTGATATAAAATGAATCTTAATGACTCCAAACTTCAATAACTCAAGTTTATTATAGTTGAGGGGAAAGCGGATGTTATTAAATCATCAGAATTCCGAGATACTTCTTCGTTGATTCGATTCATAATGTAATTCATGAATTAGTACTACGTCTTTTATCTAGTTAGAGATTTAACGACGACACATTGCGATTCTATTATCTCATTAAAATCATCATATGGTTTTTATTAAAGACATAAATGATGAAATCGTCTATTCTTCCAATACTGGGAAAAGTTAAAATTACTTTACTGGATTGCAAATATGCAAATCTCTTAATCAACGAAAAGTAATTGAATTTATTTCGAGAATTTTCCCATTTTGTATACATGTTTCGGTGTGGTGACGAAGCCTTCCAATTGACAGTTTAAAATACACGAAAAACGGTGTCACGAGAAAGACAATGGCATGTGATATGCAAATTTTGTTTGGCGTATGTAAACACTGTTTACTGGCATTTCTCTTGAATCAACAGTTTTTTTTTTATTATGACGGCAACGTTATTATGTAAACCACATATATGCAACTTTGGGGTCAATACTCTTATTATGTGATGCTGTTATCACGCCTTTTATCTACCTCACATTTTTCTTTCAATGTAACGAAAAAATAAGGTTTAATTATATACAGTAAAACAGTGAAAATAATTAATAAGAGAGAATAAGAGAATAAACAAGCGATGACAATCATGTTCTAATTAATTGCTAGCCATTTATGAGTTTTTTTAAACTTCTTTCTTTTTCGCATTTAAGAATTAGAAAAATTATATCAGGAATTATATTTTAATTTAAAAATTTGGAAAGAACATTTTTTTTCAAATTTCGAGCTGTACATTAAGTCAGTCAAAGATCTGCTGTAATTTGATCTCTTGTTCGTCACTATTTATCTATAAGAACAGAAAAAATATTCTAGAGGTCAATTTCTATTTGAAAAGTCGGTGTGATTTATGGCATTCATTAGAAGAGCTTCAGTAAAGATTAGCCAATTTACTATCTGGTGGAGGCGTGGGAATTTGAAAAGGACAATGACCATTATTGCATGACTTTCACATATCGTTAACTAAAAACGAACAGAATGGAGAAGCTGATTCACTGAGCATTGACCGCGAGATCGTTTTTCCTTGGCACATTGTTTACTAGGGGATGACTGCACTTTAAAGATTGAACTTATTTGAAGGCGATAACGTGCGTGAGCCTTGAATGTTCTTATAATACGTTTAAATGTTGATATAGAATATACAATAATTTACTTTATCATTAACAAGAACACTCACTAGAGAATTAAATCCAAATATTTTTCCTAACAATTTAGATTTTCAGTATTTTTAAGACGAAATCGAAATAGCCGGATAAATAATAGAAATATAGTAACAGTTGTACATTCGCTTAGTATTTATTGTTTTTATTCAATTTTCTTATCAACTTTACTAGACTTGATCATTCCGATTCAAACTTATTGTATATCTAAATCGTAAGTAGTGTTTTTACCATGGGATAAAAAGCTGATTGCGAGTGCAAAGCGCGAAAAGATGCATTCATTTTTTTCTTTCTAATGGTATAAATATTAATGCTTTATTAATTAGATTCCAAAGAAGTGTCGGAGATTCAAGTTTTTGCTATCAAGGTACCCTGTCTATAACTACGTATTTTTTTTCTTTTTTTTTTCACAAAATTGCAAAACCTGCGGTCATGAGTGACAAGACATCGAATGACGATTCTGCAAAGTGTGTACGGTAAGAAAAAAATTGAAACACGTTAACAAAATGCAAACTTCATCGATATAGTGTCAATAACTTGCGTTTTTATATCTCATCCGAGGAGTCGCGATCGGATCAAAGTTTAAATTTCAAAGGAATTATTACTGTTTTCCGATTCGTATTTCATGAATTGTTAATTCAGCGAAATATGGAACGATTATGCCGAGAGTGTCGACTTAGATTTGCGTTGTCGCATGACTGCATTTCAGGCCATTTGCAGATGACCGATAAAACTGGTGCCGGCACCGGTTTTTTTCGATGGTAATAATGCAAGTTGAAAGTTACATAAATGAAAGTCAAATAAATGAAAGTTACATTGTTTCTGGGAGAAAAGTCGGTGCCGGCGCTGGTTTTGCCGGTGCTTGGACAAACGGTCTTAAAGTTGCCTCAAAGACTATCTAGCGGAGATTCGCGACAGCCGAATCTCGAGTGCACTCGAGTACTCGCTTATTCGTCGAATAAGAGATCCTCCGGAATCAGCATTCAAGACAAAAGCTATCGCGCCAAAGGCGGCTTGTACGTTAAGCGAATAAATTTTGTCGGTCCATTATTTCCCAGCCTACGTGATTCGCGAAAATAAAGT